AAAATATGTATAAGATCTTTAAAATTGTTTATAAAAACAATATATTAAGTATGTATATTAATAAAATATATGTATATAATTCATCGGTTCGGTTATTTCTTCGGTTTTTTTCGAATAAAACCATAACCAAACCAAATACTATCGGTTTTCAAAAATCTAAAACCAAACCAAACCAAACCCAAATAAAATCGGTTTTATTTTATCGGTTTGGTTTGATTTTTCAGTTTGGATCGGTTTTTATCCAAACTGTGAACACCCCTAAATATGTCACTGAAATAACAACTCTATGAATCATTTTAAACAAAGTTTATATTGAATTAATAAATTTAATTTCAAATTTGAATAAAATAAACAAAAAGGTAAACTGACAAAGAGATTTTGTTTAAATATCTCTTACTTTTTTCAATTCCAATAATATATTTAACTATTTTAAAAGAATAAAAATATGAAAAAAGTTAACTTTGAAGATTAAAAAAAAATTAGATTCATCTAATATTATATAGTAAAAGAGATTAGTAAAAAAGAACATTTAGTTAATTAGAAAATTATTTAAAAAGTCATTTGATAATATAAAAATAAAAAATAACAATAATATAATAATAATAATATATATAAACAAAATATAAGTTAGCATTGCACTCTAGAATCATAAAAGAATAAGATATTCAAATTTAAGACGATGAAAATCTTACTACATAAATAATGTTATAGGGTTTAAATGTTAATAAATAAAATATATTAAAATTTATTGAACAATGAATGAACAAAAAATATACATTTTTGAAAAAAATTCAAACAAATTATTTTTTTGTTTAATTTCGAAAGCATTGAAAATTTTATATCATCCTTGGAGTATGAAAATTATTTTAAATTTAAAAAGTAATAAGTATTAGGCGAGGCAAGTTACATGACATTTTAAAAAATAGTACTACTAAAAATAAAATTAATAAAATATAAATTTAAATCTAAATATTTTAAATAGAAAAAAAAAACAGAAAAATGACAATTGCATTTTTTTTTTGTGCTAAAACGTAAAGAAAAAAAACGCTAATGAAGGGTATTTAACTACTTCAACTTTTAATCTTTATTTATATAATAAATAAGGTAAAGCCATTGACTTTTTTTAACCCATGCTCCAAAATAATAATTAAAAAATCAAAAATTTCAATGTAACCATTTCAAAAAAAGTATTAATCAAATTTTAAAAATTATAAGTAGTAGGATAGACAAAGTTACTTGACATTTTAAAATACTCTGAAAAATATAATTAAAAAAATCCTAATAAAAGGTTTTTAATTGCTCATATTAAAAAAACAAAAATTTCAATGTAGCCATTTCAAAAAAAAGTATTAACCAAAATTTTAAAATGATAAGTAATAGGATACACAAAGTTACTTGACATTTTAAAATAACACTCTGAAAATATATAGTTAAAAGTCATAATAAAATGTTTTTAATTGCTCATATTTTCTCATCAATTTTTTATTCACTTATTCAAAAATATTTACATGGATAATTAACTTCGACATATAACGATAGTATATTGATAAAGCCTAATAATTAAGTAACAATCATTTTTAAATAATGCTAAAAATTATTATTGTCAAATCTAGACGCTGAACTAAGTGTATATATTGATTTGTTTACATAAATATTCTATAATAACATATCAAGGTGCTAAATGTTAACATCCTCTCAAATAAGTTTCATAATACCATTCTATAATAAGTTATATTTTGAAATTGTCAATAAATCAATAATAATAATTATATTTATAAACTAACCGTGCAATGCCACATATACTAGTATAACGGAACGGAACCGACAAATTATAAACATATTTTTTATAAATATAACATAATATATAATCATAAGGAATAATTCTAAATATCTTAAGTATGTTTTTATAAACAAAATTTATTTTATAAAAAACAAAACAAAAAAATTCAAAATAAAAAATATTTCAAACATGTATGTATTCCCTGTTTGACAATAATAATTTTTAGCATGAACTTAAAACTCTAATTTAAAAGTATATCTGCATTTGAGTTTGGGTTTATCAACAAAAAAATTATATTGAAATGATTTTAAAAAACCAATTAGAAGATTATGGTTTAAAATTTAAATTTAATACTAAATAATTTTTGAGATGGATACAACTTTCCCGCTTCGAGACTTATATGCTAAATGAAAAAAAAAATGAGAGTAATGAAAAAGTCTGATCAATAGCTATTATTGTTAGTTATTTATAAATTTCAATGATATATGCCTTTATTTGATGTGGCTATTAAATAAAATTATCTTTAAAAATTCTAATACAACGTGATGCATAGAATTTTCAAAGAAATTGATGCTATGAATCAATTAGAGTCAAGTGTTCTTTATTTTTACTTATAGGTGGAAGGACACATGAAACAACTGAAAAAGCTTTAAAAAATGATTGATATAAAACTTATTGTCATTAAATTCGTAGTTTAATTTTTATTATTATAAAAATTTATAAATATTATAATTATGCGACATATTTTTTTAAACCTTTGTAACATAGAAGGATTAAAAAATATTGAATTGAAGGTGGGGAAATATTTTTTCATAATTAAAATCACAAAAGTTATATTTGTCTTTAGAATTGTTTAAGTTTCACTTACAAAATCATACTATAATTTGCTACTTGAAAATCTTAGCATGAAATTAATGAGTAGTTTACAAAATCAATTCTCGAAAATTCATTAATACACTTTGAATATTATTACTTATAACATAAGATTTGACATAATTTTCGATCGAGAAAATATTTTTGAATATTATTAATATACCATTAAGTTAATATGATCATATAAATAGTAATAATGTATTACTATAACTATTTAAAATAAGTAAATTAACAAGTGAATAATAAATTTTATAAATTATTTTTAATTTAAAAATTATGACATTTTAAACATGAATACTAGCTATTCTTATACACAAAAATGTATATGCCATAATTAATGTATTATAAAGTTGATATGTGATTTGATGATATATAATCATTAATTTTTAATTTTTAAAAATTCATATAAAGATAATTTAGATTCAATATCATATTTACAACTTTTTGCAATATTAAATATTACATTTTGGCAGGGGCCATATATATATATGTGATGTCTAGCTAAGTGATAGAAGATAAGGAGAGAGAGAGGGATATGGCAAGCAGAGGTGGAGGTTGGATATCATCAAGAAGCTGCATAAACACTAGTATTCCACAAAGAGAAAGTAGTAGAAGGGCCAGCAAAGGAAATCACTTGTCATTGGTAAATCACAATTATTATTGTTGTATGTACTTATATAATTATTTATACTCCTAGCTACCAAATAACTCTAGACTACTACTACTGTGTTGAAGATAACAAAAAGAAGCAAAACGCCTTTGGTGAGAATTTCTAGCTCAGATGGAAAATGGCATGGAGAATGGAATTGTGATTACATTTTCACTCTTGGAGACCTTCAACTTGAAGATTTAGCTGAAGAAACTGATACTCCACTTTCTATTCAACTCTCTATCCACAAGGTACATACAATATATTCCTTTGACCAACTACTTTTAATTCATCTTCATATTATAATTCATGTTCATGTTGATGAGCAGCACGCAGGCTTTGGGCTCTCAGTAGATGGAACAATTATCACATCTTTCACCACAAAATGTAGCAACTGTTCTTCCCCATACTGCAGAGAGGTACTCACATAACATACTTTAATTTCTCTTCAATATATCTATGTATATATATATATATATATATATATATATATATATATATATATATATATATATATATATATATATATATATATATATATATATATATATATATATATATATATATATATATATATATATATATATATATATATATATATATATATATATATATATATATATATATATATATATATATATATATATATATATATATATATATATATATATATATATATATATATATATATATATATATATATATATATATATATATATATATATATATATATATATATATATATATATATATATATATATATATATATATATATATATATATATATATATATATATATATATATATATATATATATATATATATATATATATATATATATATATATATATATATATATATATATATATATATATATATATATATATATATATATATATATATATATATATATATATATATATATATATATATATATATATATATATATATATATATATATATATATATATATATATATATATATATATATATATATATATATATATATATATATATATATATATATATATATATATATATATAAAATTTGTTCCTCTCAGATTCATACAAGCTTTAAAGTTTGGATATTACCATCAACCAGAGACAAAGGATGTACAGATCAACTTCCACTGCTTGGTTGGGATGATCCATCAGTAAGTAAGATTTCTTTTTATACAAATTAAACTAGTATTTTCTTGTTAATGAACTAACAAGAATTATCCTCAGGTTATCTATGTCAAACCAGGACTTGAAGCTGACCTTGATTCCTTGATACAAGATACCCTTAGACTTGCGACCTCTGTAAAAGTACTTGTCCATTTTCTTTTCTTTATAGAGGAGAAAAAAAAGTAGATTATGAACATTGCTTCTTCTTTTCTTTTATTTTTGCAGGAGACTTGTTCAGAATCATGTGAGAAATCTGAACCTAAATTGCAGCGTAGGAAACTCTTCCTTATATTATTTATATTTATAAAAAATATAAAGTATAATAGGAAAATCAATTCATATTTACTTGTTTAATTGCAGCTTTGGGTAAACAAAATGCTGCCTCCATTGATAGGAGGTGGTCCAGATTATTGGAGCTCAAGAAGGAAACTTAACTTTCATCAAAATCTCAATAGCTATGCACCTGGATCACTGTAAAACCAAACAACATATTACTTTCTCCCTCTCTTCAAACTATTATCTTTTCATAGCTCAAATGAAAATTAGTTGCAGTAAAGGAAAATCAACTGTTTGCTCATTTTGTTGCTCAAAACACTATTATACAGGATTAGTTTTTCACAGATAAAACTCCCACAACACAAAATTACTACTGTTAAGCTTTTATATCGTTCAGAGTATCCAGATATTCCCAAAAAGACCATATATAATCTATGTATAACTTTGTCCGCGAACCAAACAACCCCTTAACTTTATACGTGAAAATAGAGGGGAGAGGGATGGAAGGACGGACAGACAGACTAGACTCATCAAGATGCCATAGGTAACTGAAGTGTATGATACATAAAACAGGCTGCGCTAGGATATTTGAATGTTATTTATCCAACAAAAATGTTACACACTGCCTATTAAAAATGAAATTCTAATAATATTTCTACTCTCACTTGCTCTTGAATGAAATAAATACCAATAATAAATTCAGTAATTTAATATAACGCAGAAGATCTATGTCATCTCCAAGCCCAATCTATTTGTTCCTCATTATGATTTCTTACCATCCAAGCTCCTTCAGCAATTTCGTCAAATAGCTGGCCCCAACCCCAACTCGAAAATCCCAAAAAGAACCACAAGTCATGGATAGACTGGTTTCCTAACCTTAGCTCTTCAATGATAACTACTGTGGCCCTTTGGTCAAGAAAAAATACATTTGGCAGCACTTCCATTGACTGGTTAACTATATACTTTCTGGAAAACGCAACAAAAGGCATTCCACGTTTCATGACAGGGCCACCAAAAGAAAGAGGAGCCTCCTTCAGAAGCTGTACTCCATCTTCAAGTTCATCAAGAGAGTCCCAACTGATATGTTTGTTGACAATCAGACCTTGAAATCCGGTGCTTTGATCCACTTTCACAATAAGTACTTTGGATCCATCAAACGGGTGGACATTTAGAAGCTTCTCTGTAGCAACAAGGATGGAACCAACAACAACACGAGGGGCTGATTTTGCCGATCTACTAACAGGAGCTCTAATTTGGTTGAACTGATCATCTAATGTTGATCCTTCTTGAAGTATAATTTCATGTGGTGAGTTCTTAAATGGAGCCTCGGAATTCATGTTATGATTTATCCCTGGTTCACCTCCAGTCCACAGTATACCTGATGTAGGAAAAGGGAAAGACAAACTTAGAAACATATAAAATTTAAAAAAAAGTGTACTATGCAGAGTATAAAAGATAACTGCGCCAAGAAGCAAATCATCAGAAAAAATTATTGATGATAGGTTCCAACTGGATACAATAGAATTTTTCCTTTAAACAAGTACTCACCATATACTATATGAATAGACTTATTCTTTGCTCATTTTACAGGCAGAGGGGAGGAGGGGTTGTTGATACTATGGAATTGGTAATAATTCTATCCTTCTGCCTTCATTGTAAAGCATTTACGTCTCTTCAATGTTTGACATGAAATGCAAACCAGTGAAATATGGAATAAGAACAATAGAGGATTGAGTTCTATACTTTTCAAGCATAAGAGAAAATAATCTCAAATTTACTACAGGTGCCTTTAACTTCCTTTCCTAAACATGGTTGGGAATTTTTAATAAAATTCTTGAAGCTCTGGAAAGTGGTAGTTTTAATTATTCCAAGAATCCATTCCAGTATATGCCTTGGGCTTAATTCAAGTGGCAAAGGTTGAGGGATTTATGACTTAGATTTCAAGTTCGAGCCCTGTGCCATGGTATGTTAGCACCCCTTTAGTCTACCAACGGTTTACACATGGAAGATTTAAGGAAATTAGAAAGTAGAGTACTTTAGCTTATATGTTATTTACTTTTCCTATTTATGTGTAGTAGTTGTTTGTTTGCTGTAGATTACTACAACTTTTAAGTATTTATTTTTCATTTTCTGTGTAGCAATTGTTGCAGTAAAGAGGTTATTCCTCCACTTTCTCATTTCAGTTGTAGTAGGAAGTTATTTCCTTGTTTTCAGATGAGTGGTTAATCCACCAGTGTTGTATTTAGTGCATTTGAATTCAGTGAAATGTTATGCAGAAAATTATTAAGATTTTGAGTACTTCAAACTCAAGAGATTGCAGGTTCTCTCTTCACAAACTAGCACCATAGGTCGTAGGACGTAAACATTCGATTTCATATTGCAGCTCCCCATAACTAGATCAGGGGACCATAACAGCTTGGTATCAGAGACGGGTGTTATGGGAGGTCAAATTCAACATCAACTCGCACAATTGGTGAACTAGTATCAAAAAGAATGTGCAGCCAACTTAGCAAGACAGGATGCAATAAATGCTTTGCTTAGATACACTCAACAAAGGATTTAGCGAATTCAAAGGTTGATTCTGAATCAACTGAACATACCAGCCAGAATCGGGGTTGGAAGGGTAAAAGTGGAGTGGCAGGAGGGTCAGGATCAGATGCAGGAGGAAGTTCCATCATTCCTCGGTATACAAAGTTGAATTTTCCATGGTTTACTGGCCAAGGGGACTCTTGGGATGGCTGAACAAATGTGAACACTTCATTCGACACCAACAAACTCCAGAGGAAGAAGAAGTTGGACTTGCTTCTTTTTCATTTGGAGGGGAATGCACAACTTTGGATTGTACAAGTTTCTTATCCTACCTAGTGTACAAGTTTCTTATCCTACAGGTTCTTCGTAGTCAAAATAAAAAAATTTTACACCCTCAGATTGAATAGGTTTCTTATCTTTTTTTGAAACTGGTAACATGTATATATATATAAATATATATGAATTAGATTTGCACCATGACAATGCTATCTACAATTACAAAAACCCAACCATTCTTGTCCTACCAGGCATTAGGTCCAAGCGTAATTTAAGTTTGGATTCTTTACCCTCAAGTTAGGAAACTCAGAGAAATGAGCTAAAAGTAACTTTCAAGTCTTAGATTAAAAAAAGTTGACTTTGACTTGGTCAACCGATATCAAATAAAAATGGTGGTACATATGAACCTAATGACGTAGTAAATAAGGCTTTATTTGATTTACATGAATATGACGATGTTGTGAAAAATTCGGCAGTTGTGAATCCTATACCAAACAAGATTTATGATATAACTATTACTTTGGCCCGAGATGGGGTTGTTTTTACAGATGCAGGTCTACAAAGGGAGAAGGAAAAAGCAAGCATTGGAATGGCGGCTATAGATAGTTGTGGTCATTTGCTTCATGCCTTTGGTACCCCTATTCAATTTGTAGGGAAGGCCATAACTGCTGAAGCACTAGCAATTCTGTGGAAAGAGCACTACAAAAGGGTTGGTCAAAGGTTCACATACTGATCAGCAAAGAATGTCATACAAATGTTGCAAAAGAATTTGATAACATCTTGGGAAATAGAGACCATTTGCGAGGATGTATTGATGAAGTCTTTTGAAGAAATCGAGATTATATATATTCCTCGAACATGGAATGTATTAGCTCACAATCTAGCAAAAATTTCTATTTCGTGTATAAATAGGATTGCTTGGGATTCTGCCTTCCCAAGTTGTGTTCTAACGGATGCAATGGTGTCTTATGGACATTTGAAACATATTTTAAAGTAATGCAATAAAGTGTTTTTCTGAGAAAAAAAAAATGAAAATGAGTCTAATTAGGGTGATTAAAAACTTCGGGATGAAGATTAAAATTTCGAATTTTTTAAAAAGGCTTCCCTCTTACTTTTGAATTTCAAAAATTAAATTCCTACCTTCTCTTTACATTTTCATCTTATTTTTCCTTCTTCTCCTTCTCTCTGCCATTCTTCTTCTTTTCTTATTTTATGGACTGTTTTGCGTTGGTCACAAGTGTGGAGAAAATTTGAAACTAACATAAAATTCAAACCATTGAAAAAAAACCCTGCAAATCCAACAAATTGTAGAAGTTGTTGTTGCAACAAATTTCAGTAATTACTGCAACTTCAGAATTTAATGCTACAATTACGAAATTTGTGGCAACTCAACAAATACTGAGTTGTTGCACCAACTTTCAATGTTATTAGAACAATTGACCAAAGTTGTTTTATTTTCTGCAGAAGGTGCAGCGGTGAAAAGTGAGGCGAAAGAGGTGGAGGAGGAGACAGTGCAGGTGGAGAGAGCAGAGAATGTGGTGGCGGAGGAGGTAGTGGTGGAGGTTGAGGTGGTGATGATGACAGAGGAGGGGGTGAGGGGACGGGGAGGGAGAAGGAGAGATAGGAGCTTTGTGTAAATAACAAAATCTGATGGCCTTCAAAATTAGTGCATTAACACTAATCTCAAGAGTCAGTTTCAAAAAAAAAACACTAATCTCAAGAGAGTCACCCCCATCTAATAAAAATAATTTGTGTCAACCTCAATTGTCAACATTAAAGCTTTTAAAGATTTTTAAAATCAGCACCAGAAATCCTATTACAATGCTGTGGTGATTTGCAGACCTTTTCATTTGATAGCCAAAATTATGTGATTGTTCTATCATATTCTAATATTATTTCCTTTTTTGACACACTTTTGTAGTGATATAGCTGACAATTAAAAAGACAAACTTACAAGGTTCAGTCTAATTTTAGATGGTAATGATGAATTTAAATTAATTATAGGATATTTTTGTGTGCTAAGAGGTAGTTCAGTAAACCAGATAGGTGACTTTTTCAACCTTTCCTTTTTCTTTTATAATATCAAATTCTGTATATTTTTGGGACCTTCAATCAAAAAATAATCTAATCAACAAAAAAAATAATTTGATAACCAAGAAACCCCCAAACTCAAGGGCACACGGTCAAAACTGAATGAATAATGGGCTCATCACTCTACCCTTCTCCACTTGAATATCAGCCTTTTGTCTGTGGGAGGGTTCGAACCCCTGACATGCGCCTAATCCATCCATCAAAAGCTACGCTCTTACCCCTAGACCAAAGCCCTATGAGCATCTACAATTTTTGTTTTCTGTTACCTCTGTTATAACCAGAATTCACTGTGAAGATCCAGTCTTCTGCACTTCCCACAACTAAACCATCTTATCTACAAATGATTTGTCTTGAACATTACTACCATCATGTCTATCGAGACCTTTCATTTTCCAATTTTACAAATTTCTTCAAATCTGTAGATCTCACAGTAGTGCACTTCCCAT